TACTCGCATTGGCGTAGGAAAAACGATGCCCGACTGCGCTTTTGCCCTTTTTTTTTGCTTTATCTTTCTTCATTCTGTCTTGTTTTCGTTCATCGATGATATGCCGATCGATCCAATATTTGCACGTATTTTTTTTTTATCTCGATTGTCGGACATTTCCTGTCAATGCTGCTCCCATCCGGCAGGCGGTCCGGCAGTTTCTCGTAAATCACGGATATTCACTTGATTCTCTGAAACCTCTGCCGCGATTTCAATTTATTGTTATAAAGTTGATTCCAGCCAGATGAGCTTATTCCCATGGACGCAATAATAATGTGCGCGTGCGTGAACTACCGTGAAATCAGTATGCGTCAAATTGAATGTCAATTTTGCCTACATTTTATCGCATCCCATTTATTGCGAATCATTAATGCGTGTTGATGAGAAAAGGACAGAAGAGAGAGAGAGAGAGAGAGAGAGAGAGAGAGAGAGAGAGAGAGAGAGAGAGAGAGAGAGAGAGAGAAATGAAACTCCGATAAATGAAAATAATTTCGTCGGTATCACACAAACTAAAATGTGTACATTCTACATTCTACATTCTGCGCCACGTTGTCGCCCGTTGACGCTTCTGCTTGGGTTCCAAATAATTCAGTGAGCTTTTACTCCGGCTGACCGGCCGAGATATTTTTTAAAGGTGTACAAAAAAAGCTTTGATGAAATACAAAGTTAATTCCGTCTATGTATTCTGGAATTAAAGGCCAAATTGAGGTGCTACGTAGGGAAAAGGGGAGCAATTGTAAAAGAGCGCGTGTTTGCTAATTGTACGCTAAATCGCGACATATACCGCAAAAGCTGAGCAGCTTTCCGCTCGTTAAAAGCTCACCCGATTAATCGCCGATTGTCAGCAGCGCACGCGCACTTTTATATTTGTATATCCTTTTTTTTAAACGTATCCTCGCCTGCATGGAACGCTATTTTCGCGTAAAAAATTATTTTTACGTCCCATGTAATACCTTTAAAACGTGATTATCCGGTATCTTTTTTGTTTTTTAGCTAAATCTCTTAATGAAACTATTCAAAGGGAATGCTAATTCTTGATATTTTCACAAACCATGTGCCTCGCTATTTATTGCCACGTAAGCTCGTCGTGTCGGCCATATCGACCCCTGACCGTACGTATACCACGCAAACTTTGTTATCCAATCCATTGATACGATAAATACCTGCAAGCTCGCGGTAAAGCCTCATTCGGATAATGCGATTAATTGTTAGCCGAGGCATGTAATGATATAATGACGTAGCGATCGCGCGTGGTTATATGATACGCGGACGTAGAAAACAAAAACGCATAAACGATTGGTCAGATAATTGAAATATTGACCGAGCACCTGCAATTTATTCGTTTTAGCACGTTCTCGTACGTTCTCTCCAAAATAAATTCTTTTATCGCGATTAAATAATATTTACACCGATAATATTATAATTATATATTTGCGCGCGATACTACAAACATGTTACCTTTATTAAAAATTTTACGTCAAATCGAGATATTTGTCATGATAGAAATATTTTTTTTTATTAAATATCTGCAACATATTTCGTATAATAATAATATTTTCAACAATTGTATCGCGTCTTCAAATTTGTATCGCGCAAATCGAACGCTTGTAAAATCACAATAGGAACAGTAAATGCGATATGATGCGCATGGAACATCAGATATAATGTAAGGATCAGCAAGCATTACGGGAAACACTCCCATCGCCGTTGTAGAATTTTCATGAGAATTTCGTTCTGCTTTTTCTCCTTCGCGTAGTACCGCCATTCTTTCTTACGGCAAAAATCTGAAAACCATTTCCAGATACGGTCCAGAAAATACAGCATATTAGCTTTTGTTGTTATCATCGCAATTTTATTTCATGAATTTCCGCTACTTGCTGTACTTCGAAATTGCACTATCAGCCTGCATGAAAAAATATTAAAATTCAAAAAACAGAATTATAATGGTAATATGATGCTAATGAAAAATGACCAATTGTGCCATTTTTAATTTTATAAATTTTAAGAATTTTAATTTTATCAATTTTAAGAATTGTGAAGAATTGAATCTTTTTGTAATTAAAAAAAAATATGAGACAATATTTTATCAAGACGTAATGAGATCTGTCGTATCAAAGATACATTTATTTATGCAGATTACTGCTGATATCTGAAGAAAGAAAAAACTTTGTATGAAAAAAGACATTTGAATTCATTGTGTAAAAACGGCGAATATCTAAATCCAATACAATGGTAATTGCACGCCAACAAGTAACGGGATAAAAATTTGTCGATTTACACGGAAACGTGATGGCGACACGACAGTTCCTCGCTTCAAGATTCCCCAAAGCGCGGCTGCAGTTCTTGCGCGCTTCTCAACAAAAACCGTACCGTTGAATTATTGGTTGCGTTTCTCTCGACAGGATAATGTCGTTTTCCAGTGACGTGTTCTTAGATCGATGTTTCCCTCGTGCGAACAAAACAACGCACGTCCGAGAGCCCCGAAAGTTCCAACAGCAAATAAAAGATACCGATCCGACGATCCTCGCTTTCCGCGATTTCACCATGGGGGAAAGTCATACAATGTTAAAGGCGGTCTTGTGTGTCGTGTCACGTTTTCATTCCCGAAGCGATTCATCGCGCTCTACCGCTAAATGCACAAAGTATATTAACCCTCCTGACGACGAAGGGTGCCCCAATTTTGCGCATTCCCCGTAGGGAGCCGGAATTAAATTTGCACGAGGACTAAGTGGCGTCTTTGGTTCTCGTGGAGCCACGTTCGGGCGAACTATCCACTTCGTTCTGCACCCTCCGCATCGAAACGTCGAAAGTTCATGGGGATAGAGAGGGAGAATTGCCGTTGTCCCGTTATCTCCTTCGAAACTCGATCGCAAAATAATTCTTTCAGAGCGCCGTTCTTCTTTCGGCCGCAGAATCAACGGAAATACAGAAGAGCGATACCGTTTTAATTGCTGCCCGTACAATCGGCACCCGATGTAAGAACGCGATCGACGGTATTCAAAATGGAAATTGCGTTAAATCCTGCACAGGCGCGAATAACGAATGAACAATAGCTCTATGGGGAAACGCTGCGTTACCTTGTTTCTTCCGCTTTGCCGCAGCTCGCAGAGCGGTAATTAAGAGAGCGCTGCAGGGATCGATGCGTTGCTATAACAACGACATTATTTTAATGAGAACGCTGTAATATTCATTTAAATTTCTTACTTCTATGAAGCATTTACTTAGACCTTGACAATTATTGTTCTAATCCTGTGAATTAATAGGCTAATGAAATCTGCTATGGAAGATA